TTATGGAATGATAGATACGTACATACATGCGAAACAAGTTTAAAAACAGTGAGATTACCTTTTTCACTATTTTTTTTGATGCGACGAATCCTTTTTACTGGACAATGCACAGTACTACCATTGGGAGTTTCGATGACAATGGTCTTGTTATTGTTCATCATACTAACTACGGTTCCAGTATCCTTGAAATTAGTTTGAATTTTTCTTTTTCGGATTGTTGGGTTCATATCGGTATCTGGAGCTATGGTGACCAGCTGACCAGGCTCATAGGGGTTATTGCGGCGGTGAACACTCGAACGTTTTTGCATTTGCTTCCTAGATTTGTTGAGTTGTTTGTTAACCTCATCGTGAAGAGCCGAAACCTTCTCTAGATGATTCGTTACGGACTGTAGCATTATTTGTGCTTCTTGCATTTTTATTTCCTGAAAGTCGACAGGGTCAGTTGAATTGAATTGCTGGTATATGCCGAGAAGTTTATAGCCAAACATTACTTCGTGGGAGGTCTTTCCATGTGCACTATGCTGGGTGGTGTTGTAAGAAAAAACGAATTTTAGTAAATGATCTTTCCAGTTTACATTTTGTAGACACAGGTCTTCGTTCCACAACATTTTAGTAAATCTGTGCCCAACTGTCTGATTTAAACATTCGATTTGGCCTTGTGACATTGGATGTCTCGGGCATCCGTGCCTAATTGTTATTCCAAGAGCTTCGCAAATTCGTTTGACAACTTTCGCAGTAAATTCTTTCCCATTGTCAGATTGTAGAATTGCTAGCATGCCCCATTGTGCAAATAAAGATATTAAAGCTTCACCTACTACATCAGCTTCTTTTGTCATAAATGGGATAGCCCACAAAAACTTCAAAAAGATACAAACCATGGTAAGGTGCCAGGAAAATCTGTCGTTCATTTCCTTATATGCTGTAAAATTGATGAGGTCCATTTGAAGGTGTTTCATCAGACCGTAACTTATAACTAGCATTAGGTCATCCTTCTCTTTAATCGAGGTAACTCGATTACATGTGTTGCAATTTTGAACATATTCACAGACTTCCTTTTTCGTGATACCAATATGTTGCGCTATGATTTTCTTGTGACAATCGTTCGCATTAATATGGCGATCATTATTATGAAATTGGTTAAACAAGGATTGATGAAACTCCAAGTCCCACGCAGGAACAAAACGATGAAGCGGTTGATCCTTTATTTGAACATAAAGATGTCTGTTTTCTAGACGCCACAGTTTCATTTTACGTTTGAAGTTCTATCAGTTTTTGGGTTTTATTGAGGTAGGTATAATCCCACTACGAAGGAAAGCGACAATATCTTGATACGCTTCAGGTGTTTGAAGGAAATCAGCTTCGTAAACCATTTTTGTTTTTTTTCCTTTTTTTTCTTTTTTTCCGTGTAAAAAAAAAAAAAAAAATTTTTTCATTTTTTTTCATCATATTTATAATCCCGAAATTGTATCATTACACGTAACGAATATATCACTAAAAAAAAGTGTAATAATGATGAGAATATGGCTCATTGAGCCTTATTGTATAGATCATGTAAGTGCAGGTACAAACAGTTAATGTCCTTCGTTTTGTCGCATTGTAAAATGTGAAGTAACAATTATATAAAGGGAAATATCAGTCTTTTTATTTAAAAAAAAAAGGTTAGAGATAAGCCAAAATTATCTTTTCTGCAAGACAATTGTAATGACTTATCAGGCCGTTCTATACACCTACATTTGTATCGTTCTATACACCTATATTTGGATGATGTACCAAGATAATTCCCATTGTTTGTGATGTATGTAAAACAATTTTATTAGTCATATCGATATGCATAAACTCAAGCAGAGCAGAACATCATACAATTTGAAATACATACGTACCAATTATATAATCCATAAGGTACTGGCTCTTGTTTAACGCATTCAAATACCGATATGAAAGCTCGCTGATCCTAAAAAAGAAAAAAATGTAAGTACCGATCATTATAAGAAAAAAACAACCAATAAAAAAAAAAAAACGAAAAGAAAATCGAAAAAAAAAGGTGAAAAAAAAATGTAAATTAAAAAAAAAAAAAAGCGATAAATTAAAAAAAATTTAAATTTAAATTAACAAAAACAAAAAAAAAAATTTTAAATTAAAAAACTTACCGATGTTATATTTCAATTAATCGGATAATAGTTACTTTTCTAGTCCAATCGTAAATGTCGTCAGAAGTAAATTTTATTTTTTTTGTAGAGGAAATAAACTTAAAAAATTCGAAGACAAAAAAAGAGGGTCTGGCGAAAATAAAGCCGAAAAAAAAAGGATAGCTTGATTAACTGTCCCCCGTTTTGTTCGCCTCACGTTGGAACGTTTCATGCAACGTCACGTGAGTTCATCAACTTAGTCAATTCTCACGTTGGTCCCTCAGAATCATTATGACCTCGGTGCTTACCTTAAATGACCGTTATCCCATATGATTATCATAATAATACTTAAATAAGTAAAACACGATAACCATAACACTTTCTAAATTAGGAAAAAATATAGGCCACGAAAAAGTTGAACGGAACCATCCCTCCATATTTCATATGATCGTACTGGTATAGCTTCAAAATAATCCCACACCTAGAGGTACATTACTTAGAAGGCGAAATTTCTATGTATATTGTAATTATATAACTATATGTAATTAATAGATCGTTAAATATAGCTGAGTTATTGAAAGAAAGTTAATAGTACAAACTTTTTTTAGATTAATACATAAGTTATAATATATAAGAATGTTTGAAACTTTTTATATGTATACAGGCTCCAACGAGTCTTATAATAACGTGCTCTGGGTATAATAAACAATAGATCTTTAAACATTATATTAGTTCAGTATAAAAAGTGCGGCAGATATTTAAAAAATATTTTTGTTAAAGTGAAAAGCGATA